CTTTGAGGCCTCATTACATTCTCCCTCTTTCTCTTTGCCTCTCTCTCTCTCTCTCTGCGGCCATACGTCCCTTATTCCCCTTGAGACACCGACCTCACCGCACTACATATTCCAGAGAACACAGTCCCCCACACTGGGACACGCAAGCCAAGGCTGGCACCGTGTGTGCCCCAGCTGGGCCCAGGCGCGTTAATGCGCCCATTAAGGCGCTAGCTGCGACTACTCGTGACGAGGGCGGCGACGACACGACTCTGCGGCCAAGCTAAAAGCGGAGCTTTGCGGCAGCCGAGGACTGCGTTGCGTCTTGCCCTGCCTGTGGTAGTCCTCGTTATGCCGTCCGCAGTCCAGCCTGACGCTCACTCGTGTCCCTTTCTCTCTTTCTCTCCTCTTTAGCGCCTGCATTCCCTTTGCACAGTCTCTGCTTTCGTACCGGCGATAACAAAAACAACAACCAGGATCGGGTGTTGCAGGATGAAAATGTAAATTCGACGCGCAGTGAACCGTGAGTATATTGGCTGCACAAATCGGATATTGTTCTGAGAACAACAAGAGCGTCCCTTCGTATCTCTCTTTTTCTCTCTTGCACCCGTTCGGGACGACCACTCACTGCGGCAGAGCCAGACTAACGAATTTTTCTGTTTTTTCTTCGGAGTCAGTCTGCAGTTTTAGTGATAGGGTGCGGGGACTAAGAGGGTTGGGGACAGGGCAGGGGTCACGGCGTAGAGCGCATGGCCTGAGGCCAGGGCCTGAGGGCACGATACTGCACGACTTTGACGCGAGGCCCTTGCCCCCTGCCAGTCCCATGGGGAGCCCCAGACCGCCCGACCGCCGAGCCAGCTGGCGCGCAACACACGCGAGGGGCCCTCGGGGTGCAGCAGTGCCGACGGCAGGCAGCCGAAAGCTCCTGTCCACTCGAAGCGAGACTCGAAGCCACGCGCCACGCGTGGTGCCCAAGGCCGAACCCGAACGACTCCAGACGGCTCCAGACGGCCCGCCGCCGCCTCTAAATTGGATCAGAACAAAATTAAATTCTAGTTACAGTCTGGCCGGCGGCGGCTGCCTCTTTAGGCTGTCGTTGCGCGAACGGCGCTCCCCCTCTCTCCCGTCCCTACTGGTCCCTCCATTCCATGGAGCTCGGAGCGAGGCACAGCGTATAATTAATAACAATCACTATTGATTCCGAAGGAAGATAAAGCCAGACGGGGGAGTGGCTGTGGTGTCGACGGACAGCTTTTTCTTGTTTTAAAACGAGCGGACACGTCGATTCACAAAAACCCTTTTTAATGCACACAGTACTGAACACAAACAAGCTCAAAAATGTCTCGTGGTGTCATGCGGGGGTAGTAAAGCTTGCGACCGTTATTCCTTGTCCATATATTCTGTACCGCTTTTCCGAGGCATCCTTGTCTCGTTGATCTTTCAGTGCTTCGTAAACGTTGGCCAGTGGTTGGCTGGGACCCACATCTCTTTTTAACCCTCAGTTTTTCGTTCCTTCGGGGACACAAATGCGTTCAATCTGGTGGTACGGCCGTCTCGACCTTCAATCTTCTTCATACAGCGGATGAATCCCCGGGCCCCGCGTACCAGGCTCAGGCTCGGCTTGGTCCCGCCAGCCCTCCCGGGCCAAGACAGGGTCTCGTTGGCCCCCGCTACCCCTCACTCTCCCTCACTCCCCCTCGCGCACCGTCACGGTTTGCTCTGGCATTTAGTGCGGCCCGTGTCCGACCCGGACGTCGTTCTCCGCCAGCCTGGCAGTCTGGCGCTGCGCCAGCATGCACGATCGATTTTTTTTCCGTCGTCATCAAGGAGGGCGAGTTTTGGCATGAAGCAAAGCCGCTCCTGCTTGCAAGGGAAAAGAATGCAACAGCGGACTCCCTTCCCTCCGGGTGGAGAGGGGGCGGGTGGAAGGCACCACGCTATTTCCAGAGGCTAGAGAATGCTGTGTCGCTGTGTTGCTGTGCCCACGGCGTGCCCGTCGGCGTATGCAAACAACCCGGCCGGAGGCGAGCCACGCGGAGACGCGCAGTGAAGCCCTTGTTCGGAATAAGGACGCAGTGTGTTGCTGAACTGAACGGCGCCTCGCTGGGAGGTTCCAATTATAGGCCTCGCGACTAACTAATGACAGCCAGCCTTGGCGGAACCAGCTGAGGCTGCGTTGCTGCGACGCTTGTTGAATTGCAGGGGCGCCACGCGGTCCCACTTCCACCGACTGGGTGTGGCACTGCGAAGCCAGCGCGGCAGCCCTGTGTCGCAGCACTACGGACCAGCAGACTGACTCCAAGGGTCCTTGCCGTCGCCCTGTCTAGCACGCATAGGGCATCCTCCCGGAAACGACTTTCAGTCTCTGTAACCAACGTTTTCTTGGGGTTGACGGCCCACGCCCACCCAGCCCCGACCCATCGCGCCCACCTTGGGGAGCCCACCCCCGCGTTGCTGTCCTGCGAGCCGCGCCATTTTGGCGTAGAGGTACAAGTACGCCGGAAGGGCTAAAGGGTGCAAGCACAAGCTAGCGCAAGCAAGGCCCCTTTATTTAATTCATCGTCTGCAAGAACCGGGAGAGAGGCCCCGTCCTGCGTGACCCAGCCCGTGCGCTAACCTAGTCCGACACACAGGCCCGGACAACGCCGGCATTTTAAGCCACGCATTTACGGTAGTAAATGTTCAACAACACGCAAAAACTTTACTAGAAGTTTTTGTGGTAGGCTTGTTTTTCGTCTCAGAGGTGGCTGCCTTTCAATGCGGACTACTGCGAGTGATACTCGACCAGACTAGTTTTGTGACCTTTTTCTAGCCTTTATCCTGATGTGCTCATGCTCATAACACCTGACGCAGAAGATATGGCCTAACGAGATGTGCTCCCAAGATGCTTGCATCTTGTGACACTAGACCGACGAAACCTGCCAGGCCAAACAGAGAGACTTAGTTAGTTCGCTAAGCAGCCCCGCCCGGCGCGCATCGCACACATAGTCGCAGCAAGAACAGAGCTGCCTGCTGAATGGGACATTGTCTGGGTGCCGCGAGCTCGGCGGCGGTGAGCTCGTCGTTTCGCAAACTGCGCGACATGCGGAACGCTACCTTGAAGAATGGGTCGGGGATATGGGTCGGGAAGTCTTGAACCAGAAAGCTACGTGTGTGAGCACGTGACTCATTCCCAGCGCAGGTGCAGAACGACCCTCCCTTGCTGTCCAATAAAAGCCCTGGTGGGCCGTACTATGTGGTTTCGATGTCGTGCAAAGGTCACAAGTGGTAGCACTCTAGAAGGCTCTCCGCGCCGCATCCTAGCCGACAGCGGTGGGACTCGCGGTGCCGGCTGGGGTTGTAAGTCGCATCGTGCCAGTTCTGCGGGCCGCAAAGGTATTGGACATTTCCCCCGAGCCCTGCCAGAGTCCTGCCCGCCCCGCCAGTTCTGCCGTGCCGTGATGGAGCGGGGGAGGGGCGGTCGGATCGGGGCGCCACCCGTGCATTATTCAGTTGCACATCACCTGGCTGGCTCCGAACGCTCATCGCTCTGTCTGCCTCACACAGACGGGGCGTTCTGTCGGGGTGCAAGGGTGTCTGAGTGACCGGAGAGACGGGGCACTGTTCCGAATCAGTGTGTGCGGCCCCAGCGGACGCCGGGGCCAGCGAGGGTGATGTCGTGAGTGCCGATCAAACGCGTCCCTGCCTTGTCAGCGGGATGGAGAGGGACGGACGACCCACACGTGGGCCCGAAGCGTGACCGGAAGTGGAACAACAGGGGGACGGACCGGACGCACCCGGGGACGCCGATGACAAAATCGTTTCACAAAATCGAGAATTTCCCCGAGAAAAACATCAGAGAATATGCATTTTCCCTCAAAAGTTTGGCTGGAGCAAGCGGTGTTGGGTTGCCTAGGCTGCCCAAGCGCCAGCGATTGAGATGACAGTGTGCTGGCGGTGCGCGCCATCACCGTGAACGTATGGCTCTGGTTGCCGCCGGTCCCGCAGCCCGACAGGCGGCCCGGCAGGCAGGGCGGCATGGCCTTGGCCATGGCCCGGCCCATGAGGAGTGGCGAAGAGGCGTCCCCAGCCCTCAACCCCCACAGCCAGCAGACTGATTCCGAGATTCGTTTTCACCGCTCTGTCTCTCTCGCACCTACTCGATGCGCCCGTGAGTGCGAGAGAGGCAGTACGACCTTCGGTGCTGCTTCGCGCCTCACGCCCCGGCCCTTCCATTCAAAGCGGCTCCTTTTCACTCCGAGGGAAGGGGACGAAAATCTGTGAGGTCGTTTCGCAAGGTTGGCGGTGATGTATGCGAGGATGCCGTCGCTCACTTACAGCAATTTCTAACTGAGCGCAGCTCCCTGGCCCTTTTGCGCGTCCTGCCAAGAATTCGATTCCATTGCAGCGTCGTCACTCTGGCCTTGAAACGCCACCCTCGCTGCGTACCGACCGTGCCGGCCGTGCCCCTGACCCCCGCGCGCCGCGCGCTCGGATTGCCGACGCGGCACGGCACCGCCAGTGAATGGACTCCCTCGGTGGTGCTGCAACCCGTGATACAGGCTGTAAAAAGAACGGGGAGAGTCCGCCTTCGGTACTTGCTCCCGCCGCTGCTCCCGTTCTCCGTTCTCCTCAATGAAACCGGCGCTTCCACGAGGGCCCACGCAAATCGCGAATCTTCCGGGCGGAGGGAAGCACCCGCCGTTTAAGGCAACCCTGCCTCAACAGTTGTCAAAGAAGTCACTCGGAGCGTGCCGAGGGTTTTGACGCCATGTTTAGCCTGTAGCCATCCTACTCGGTGCATCGCGCTGTATAGCGCCGCGCCGTGGCCAGCCTCTCGAGGCAGCCGAAGAGCGCGAGGAAAAGGGGGTCGCTCAGAACGAGCAATAAAGGCTGCAGGAAATGGAACGTCTTGCGGCAGTGATAATGAATGGCTGCTGGACAATAGCACCCGAAAACGGGACCGGTATTGGATTCTCGCTTCATCTACCGCGACACAGAGAAGGCCGCGCCTCACCGGAAATTGTGTTCTTCTGGCGCAGGTGATCCGCATGCTGTTCGTCGTGGTGGCCGAGTTCTTCGTCTGCTGGGCGCCCCTGCACGTGCTCAACACGTGGTACCTCTTCAACCCCGAGCAGGTGTACGCCTGGGTCGGCTCCACCGGCGTGTCGCTGGTCCAGCTCATGGCCTACGTCTCCTCGTGCTGCAACCCCATCACGTACTGCTTCATGAACAGAAAGTTCCGTCAGGCCTTCCTTGGGGTGTTCAACTGCCGCAGGTAAGGAGTGTTTTGAACACACCCAACTATGTACTTTGATACGGACAGTTTTCATGCTTAGCTCAAATCGATCAAAATTCTTCGTAAGTGAGAGTTGAAGACTACAGCTTTTGTCATAACTTAGTCACTCCTTTGGGTTCTTCGAAGGTCTGCTGGTAACAGAAAACAAAGCAGCTATTCAGCCCCCTCCGGGCCCGGTCCAGTCGGTCTCCCCTCGAGCGGCGTCCAGCAAGCGCCGCTGTTCGCGCGCCACCCCTTCGTGTATACGAGCTGCGCTCCGACTGCTCAGAGGTCCCGGGGGACGCGGCGGGACGCGGGTTCGACAACCAGCCTCCCTCCCCACCGGCCGTCTGCACTGCGATTCGACGCCGTCGTAAAAGCCAAGAGCCATACGCCGAGTATGAACAAGAATTCTATTTTCTTGGCGTGGCCGTTCCTTCCCCTCCCTCCGGTTCGCGGCGGTCCCGGCGGTCGGGGCTGGCCCTGCCCCTGGCAAAGTGCCGTTTATCGAGGCCAGCGCCATCTGGCCTTCCTGCAGCCAAAAATTGGCGTCTTAATTGGCGTCTGTCCTGCCGGTGCCGCTTGCCGCTGCTGGGAGGGGTCCTTGGCTCTCGTCGCCCCTTTGTCCGGAATTAGTCATGAGTGCGGCGCTGTGGCGCTGCGACGCCTCGTGGCGATGGAGTCGTGTCGCATGAGGGGGGCGGTTATGAGACAAGCGGCGGTGGGTCGTGAACCCGCCGAGGTCCTCATCGCCTTCAAGGAGTAATAAACGGGGCCCATTCGAGGCCTTCTTGCCCCAGGCCCGGCCTCGGGCCGGCCTCGCAAGGTGATGCCAGCCCGCAGGTCGCGGGCGGCAGTGCGGCATCGCGGCTGCGCGACATGCGGCCAACTTCGGAAAAGGGATACGAGCACCGCGCCGCCGCGCCGCCAGCAGCGGAATGTGTTTTGTAAAGTAATTAAGGTGGCGGCGTGCGGCGGCTCTTCGCTCCCGAACCACGGCACGCTGAGGGCCGAGGCGCCGAGGCACGCCGCGGCATATGGTTAGGGTTAGTCGCCCTTTCATCATGCTGCATTCCCGCCCGGCCTCGGCGAGCCAATTTTCGCTGGGTACTCCTCGCATCCGGCAGCCCCAAGGCCGGAGCCCATCTCGGAGGCACGGAGGGGAAAAGTTTGACCGCGATTTAGGCAGGTCGCGCTGCTGCAGGACCCCAGACTCTCCATTGAAGTACTTTTGTTTCCTGCTCCTGCGGGCAACTTCTCCATTAGCTACCACGTCCATGAAGCCAGACGATGCATTAGGATAACGAAGCGTGACATGTTAATTACGTGTGGTATTCAAGTGTCTTTTTTAAATCAATGTCCCTCTGAAATCATGTTCCGTGCTGCCCGGTTGGCCGTATTCACAGCAGCGTCAAAGCCGGGACACCCGAGATTTTGCCACTGATGAGTGTCCCGACATGCTGCCGGCTGAGTGTGCGTCTGCCGGCGTCTGCCCAACCCAGCCCACCATTAACTTTGTCAGAGAAAATAACATGTAAAACGTTGTGTCAGCCCATCAGCAGCGACCGCCACTCCCACTGACCCGAAAAAAGGAACGACCAGCGCCTGGAGCGGGAACCACGGCGAACCACCACCGAGGGGAACCACCTCGACCCCTCATTTTGTCATTTTCATGCCCCCAGCCCCGGATCGCCCTACTTTCCACTTGAAACAACAAATAAACTACGGGGCCCCAATTAATGTGCAGCGCGATGATTCAAGTTACAGAGTCCGGCGGTATATCACAGCAGCCGAAGGGGGCGGTTTCGTCGATCGAATTGGGTGATCAATTTCAGGATTTGATGGTGGAAGTTAGGACAGGTTTAGGTTAGGTTGTACGGACGGGCAGAAAAACGGTGGGCCGAAGATGGGCACTCGCAACACTGCTCTCAGTGTTGACCCTGACCCAACCTCAGCCCTCCCGGCGAGCTAATGCGCCTTTGGCTCGCCGAGACCTGCTGGGCTTGAATGGCTTCTTTCAATGATTCTCTGCCATTGTGTTTCCCTTGTCCACAGCCGGGCCGCTCTACCCTGCAGCACCGTTTTGCTCGTGCGGCACCACCGGCCGGCTTTTTCTTTTTCATGACCATGCGTATGGCGAGGGGCAGGAACCCTCCGGAGACCAAGGTTTCCAATCCCCGGAGGATTTTTTCCCTTTCTTCTCAGAGTGGTCTATTTTTGGGGAGCTGCCCAACCACCTCACTTGAGGTTTTTTTGCAACTATTATTCATAGCCCCGCAATCCGCTCGCCTCGCCTCAGCCTAGCCAGCGGCCTTTCTCACGGTGTGATGTTCTTCCGCCTCTCTGTCTCTCTCTCTTGCCTTGACTCATCGTCCTGATTGTGGTGTTCCAGCGGCTGCTGCCCCGCGGCGTCCTGCCGAGGCGGCCCCCCGGCGTCGCGCGCCGGCCCCCAGCTGTCGCAACTGTCACAGCACTCGGACCAGTCGCCCAACGACTCCACCGTGTACGCCGGCCGCGGCTCCGCGGCCCGCTCCGGTAGGTACCAGTGTGCCAAACCAGTGCTAAACCCCGAGACCACCGCCATACCCGTGCCAAACTAACGTGGAGCATCCACGCCAAACCCCCGGCCACGTGGCTGTCACGCCAGAACGGCCGCACCACGGCCCAGGAGGCCCAGGAGGCGCAGAACAGGGGCGGCCTAGGTTGCGGTGGCCTGGCAGACTGGCAGGCCGGGCCTCTTAACGTACCTTTCAGCGCCGAGCACTGCTTTGAGCGTAAGCCGCTTCAACAGAGAGGGCTCCCACACTGCTATTTTCGTTTACATGAAATCTTGAAGCAGCACCACTTCATGACTTGGACTCCGGAGTGCCATCAAAACAGTAATGTTGTCTCACTCTCATCTCACGGCTCCTCCGCGGGGGTGGCGCGTTTTCCTTGTCACTGGCTTTGAGTGGAACGAACTGCTTCCAGCCGATGTGAGTACAGAGGGCCTTCCCTTCCGGCCGTCTCTCTCGGCCCCAATTCCCACAGTGCTTTTGTCGCTCTCACACTCACGGGGCGTCCCGTAGGGGTGCGGGGCACTGAGGCAGGTCGTCGCGCAGTTCGTTAATGGCTTAATGGATGAGGCGAGGTTAGACACGAATTTCCCCGCTGCTGTTGGCCTCGACAGCCCCGCCGATGAGGCAGTAAAAAGTCGAGTCGATGCGGTCCAACTTTCCGATTGCTCTGGGATGGGCCGCACGGGCTCACTACCCCACGGCCACGGCTGCGGCTCGTGCGAGGCCGGTCGCTGCGATCCGCACGGCCCGGCCGACCCGACCAACCCGACGGCCGGGCAAGCCTCTGCACTGCCCCGGCCTGGCCTTGCCTTGCCTGGCCTTGCCTGGTGGTGGCCAAGGAATTAGTGGATCGCAAAACTCGTTTTTCCGCTGCTGATGAGTTTTTCATACCAGAACTGACAAAAAAAACCGGCAGCGACACAAAAACAACACAGAAGCACGGACTACGTGCGCGTCGGCTTCGCGTGCCAGAATCGTTTTATTATTCTCGATTCATCGTTTTCATAATGTCGTTTTGCAGGATTTATCGATAAGTCCCCCACCCCGCCTTTTAGCCCGGTGGTCCGCGGGCAGGCTCCCCTTCGCCTTCTAGTGCCTTCGGCGGCCGTTGGCACACATGGCGAGAACTTTCTCTCGTAAACCTCGTGACATAGAGACTCCCCCTTCCCCTTCCCGTGGCGCGGATGCCGCCCCGCCCTCCACCCCGCCACCCGGCTGCTTTATGGGGGATGCAAAATCTCTCAGCGCGCCTCCCACTCCGCCTCGCGCGGAGAAGGGGTAAAAAAGACACAAAAAACCAGCACACTTGTGGCGTTTGCCTCGGGGGCTGCACTGGGCCCCTCTCCACCGGCCCTACTCGTGGCCTGTAGGCCTGCATGCACACTCTTCATTACACTGCTGTGTGCCCAGCCAGTCGTTGTCGCCCGCTCCACTTTAAAAAGTTGTTGGTCCGAAAGGCGTTTCCGGATCCCTCCCCAGATTGCCATTTTGTTTGTTCTTCGCTATTCGTGATTGTGTTTTGCCGCGAGGGCGTGAGCGCACCGGGCCCGGGCCAGCGAGGATGTCGGTGTGGCCTGGCCTCGGGCCTGGACTCAGGCCTGGCGAGCCCACGCTTCGTTGTCGTCTAGGGTGGCTTGGCCATGGCCGGCGGCGTACCGCGGCTGGGCGTAGACGGAACCAGGCGCCAGGGGCCCCACTGTGGCCCCACAAACTTTGGAAGGCCAATTCGTACGTGTACTCGTCTCGGTGTTTCGGCTCTCCCCGTCTTGAAAGCGGTAACTTCCCAACTTGGATGACGCGGCGCATTGCTTAACACCGAACACTGTAAACCTGGGGACCGGGGAACCAGAGACGCCGATGCAAACTGCTCACACGTCGATCGACTGGGATTAAGGCACAACAAGGTTTCAACACCACGACGACAAAAGAGCAGTTAGAACTGGACGATGCTTGAAGCCGGAGTCTGTTTTTAAGGAAAAACACTTCAACGTCTCAATCGTTAAAGACCAGTAATCGCTCTGAATCGCTCTTCTTGGAGCCGTTCAAAAAGAGGTCCGTTATCATTGGCGCTGAGCAAGCCGCTCTTTGAGTCTATGGCACCGCAAAATTGGCCCCTTGCGCCTCCCTGGCCCAAACTTGAGGAGGGCATTGCCCAGCAGCCGCTTCCACTTTTCCTGGCAGACACGACGCGCTTCGCCGAAAAACTTAGCCGCCGAAAACTTGAAATGTTTAACGCGGACGGTATACTATGCGCACGATCACGAAGTGTTGATCGCAGGCCGTGCTCGAGAATTGCACTGCGTTCATTATTCAGGCATTGCTATTTTCCTCATGCATAAGGAAGTCCGACGGGGTGGGTATGCATAAATACAGGGGAGGCCTACACGCCACGCGATGCATGTAACTACTTCTTGGGTACCTTCCCGGCGTGCGGTTTGGGGGCCCACGGTCTAGAATAATTTTGGCCGCCTCCACCGGCCTACTGTGGAGCGCTTTCTGCCCACAGTGTGCCTACGGCATGCTTACAGCGTGCCGCCACAGTCAATTCACCAGCGACTTGTTCATCATCGCGGCAGCGCGAGCCAACCCGTCCCTCCAGCTCGCCCACGCCGAGGCACACCGAGGCCGTGATGGATGGTCCCGGCAGACTGATTCCCAATCACCATCTCTCTCTCGCACCTTCGTCGGGGCGCGCCGTGAGCGCGAGAGTGAGAGAGCGACGAGAGCGCGATGTGCGGAATCAGTCGACAGTCGGGATGGGAATCTCGAGACTCAGCGCTTGCCTCAGCACTGCCGCGGTGTTTACCTGGACGCGGTTCTGGAGCACGTGTGAGGCTCAGGCAGACCATTTCACCTTGCAGAAGTCAATAATATTTCTTTTTTAAAATGAAATTGAAAATATGTGAGCATGACGTGCTTAGAAAAGGAAAGTTCAGAAATCTTAATTTGAAATAAAAGGTTGTACTGAAAGTGACAGGTTCTGGGATGTGTTCTGTGAGGCTGGCACTTTGAGTCTCTCAGGTGCGGAGCCGCCCGCCCTGACCTCCCTGACAGACTGGCGGGCGAGATCGACTGACGTCGGCATGCCGTCGGCGCATCCGCGTTCATCATCCATAATACCCTCATCACGGCCCGGTTAGGCCCGGTTAGGTTAGTTCCGAAGCCGCTTATTAAACTTCCCCGGCAGCACCGCGGAGCACCCAACTTTAAAATTCCTCCTTTCCGCGCGCGAGCTCGCGCGAGCCGGGTCGGCCCGGACTTTCTTGGAAACAATGATCCTATGAACCCGGCCTGGAAACAGAGACGCAGTGGCCTTGGCCTTGGCGAGCGCGATGGCTGTGTAACTGCAGGCTCGAGCACTGCTCCCGTCGCTCTGTCTCTCTCACACGCACGGGGCGCCCCGTAGAGGTGCGAGAGGGACGACCGCGGGGCTCGGAATCAGCCTGCTTGCTCTTCGGGCCCTTCAGGGACCCTTCAGGGCCCCTCTGGAGACCACACTGCACGCTGTGAGGCCGCCACACCGCCTCCACGTGGCGGCGTGCGTGATCCGGGCTGCCGCAGTCGCGTTACCCGCCGTCAAGCGTCAAGCCCTGCAAGCCCTGCACGCAAAGCCGCGTCGAAGAGCGAGCGAGCGAGGAATGCAACACCGCGAGCGCGCAGAAAAAAACGAGCCTTTTCTGAGAGCGGCCACTGTTTCACAGTGCAGTTGGCCGGGGCTGGGCGGACGAGGCCGAAGCACGTCGAGCGCCGTGAGGGTAGGCCGACCCGCCGCACGCACCAGTCCGGCGGCCCGGCCTACCTTAAACTTCGCAGGCGGCCTCTGAGGTCCAGAACAGAGGGGCGGCGAGAGAGAGAGAGAGAGAGAGAGAGAGAGAGAGAGAGAGAGAGAGAGAGAGAGAGAGAGAGAGAGAGAGAGAGAGAGAGAGGAGGAGAGAGAGAGAGTGGAGAGAGAGAGAGAGAGAGAGAGAGAAGGGGGGAAATCGCGGGGGAAATTGAAACTCCGGGAGGCTGGCCAATCTTCCTGCGCGCTTCATGGTCCAGGACGCCGACGACGACGTCGGCCGCGGCGGCGGTCGCCGGGGGCCGTTCTTTGTGGCTGCGAGTGGACCGCCCCGGACCGCCCCGGACCGCCCCGGACCGCCCCGGACCGCCCCGCCCCGGCCCCGCCTGATCGCTGGAGCGTGACGTATTAATGCCGTGCCGAGGGCCAAAACTTTCTAAGGTCTGGGTCTGGAGTCTGGCGAAAGAGATTGCCAAGTTGTGCACCTTCCGCCGAGCCCGGCGCTCTGCCGGCTCTGCCTGCATACCGGCGTTGGGGCGCGCGGCGCGGCCTGGCGGGGCGTAGGCCGGACGCGGGGCTCAGGCCCCCCAAAGAGTGGCCCGAAAGAAAGCGTGTCTCAGCCCTCGCAAAGACTCCCCGAACCGACGGGAAAGCTGCTCTGGCTCATTTCGAATTCGAATGCGAGCCCACGCCGCGCCGTGCCGCCGTGTCGGCGCTGGTTGATGCCAGGGATGGCTCCAAGGATCCAAGGATGGCTCCAAGGTTCCAATCGCACGCGTCACCTCGCCTCGCCGCCTCGCCACTTCCCTCTCTGCCGGCACCGTCGGATTCCATCGCCATCAAGAGCGCCGAAATACGGAATAATTCAGCTCTGCAGGAAGCCGTCGGCAAATTTCGGCATTCCATGGAGACCCAGCGTTAAAATAATCTTTCAGAGGGGCTCACACACACACACACACACACACACACTCGTGGGGTGCCCCTCTGGGTTGCGAGAGAGAAAGAGAGGCGACGAAGCACTTTTGGAAAGCCGAGTGTTGGCCGCGGGGCACCGCGGGGCCGGCTCCGCTTCGCCATAAAAACGCAGCAACTCATCGCGCGGCCTGGCGCGGCCTGGCGCGGCCGCATCGTCGCCGCGGGGTGCCCGGGGGACCGCGGCCGTTTCTCCGTTTTCCCGTTCTCCCTCCAGGACATGATGTAGGTCGGGCGGAAATAATTGATGTGGTTTACGAGGAGCCGCGGTTGAAGTGACGCGCGGCGGTCCCCTTCAGCATCGGCTGCAAAAGCGGCCGTATAAACGACGCCCAGCTCGGCCGGCGTTCGCCTTCATGCATAGCTGGCCTCTCTGTTTCGCCAGTTTTGATGCATTATTGAAATGGGTTCCCGGGCTCGCCGCCAGGCAGCCCACACAGCCTGTGAAAAGTGAAAAAATTGTTCCGATCGGGGGAGGTAGTCAGTTCGCAACAAAAGATTGTTGTCACAACCGTATTGTTCACAAACGGTTCCGATAGCACTGAAACTCGCAAGTCCTCACCCGTGCGAAAGACCAACGCTATCTGTGTACCTTGACGGATTTTGTCTTTTTGTTTCCAGGTGGGTTTGTCGTGGTCACAGGGCGAAACGGCACCAGTAAGTTGCGAAAGTGGCAATGTTGCGCTTATTGCTGCCAGCACGCTTGGGAGTAAAAACTGCCCGCTTTGCCCTGATTGTAGTTTTGTTTTTCTGCTTACCTTTGTAACAAGGGGTCGTAGGTGTAGCCCGATCAAATCGAGAGGAGCCAAAGTTTGAACGCGAACGCAAAATTTGTCAATGCCCGTCCACTAAGAAATTCCACTGGAGCAGAAAATCGATTTTTAGGGGTTCTTTTCCCTCCATCATTCTTTTTTTCTAACAGTGTGACGTGCGTGCCTGACGAACGGCCGCATGCCCCGACTAGCTCGCGCGGCTCGCGCAAGCTCACGTCCCTTCCAATACTCGGCTGGAGGGGGATGAAAAACTCGCGTCATTACTTGCCCGGGGCCGGGCTGGCGGCCGGGCTGGCGGCCGGGCTGCGTCAGGCTCGTCGTCAAAATGGCGCCCGCGAAAATATATTCGCCGAAACCAGCGGCAACCCTTTTTCGCGGTGGGCCGGCTAGGCAGAGGCCTGCCGTGGGCCTGCCGTGGGCTGGGCCTGCCGCTCTAGCGGTGTGGGGCGCGGGGCTGCTCCTCTCCGGCACCCCGCTGCGGACGGAAATTGCTCGAGCCCGTCGCTTTTCATTTATTCTCATTGTCTTTTTATCTCGTTCTAATCGCGATTACCTGTTCACGGCTCGGCGGCCACGCGTCAAGCATCACGGCGGCCGTGCCTCCGGCCGCGGCACGCACTGCGGGGCTTCTCTTATTTTAGCCCGGCAAGCTCGTGCACGCGCGCCGCGCCAGGCCCATTCCGAGCGGTGCTCTGTCTCTCTCGCACCCATGGGGCGTCCCACCCGTCCCGCAGGGGTGCGAGAGGGACAGAGCACCGATCGAGGCATTGTTTGGGCGCGGGCTAAAGAGCGCTCGCGCCAAAGCAACGCCCGGGGTACGGAGTATCGGTCTCGGCGGGGCTCACCGCGGTCGGCCTTGCCCAAGGTCTCGAGGAGCCGAAGGCTACGCCGAGTCCGGTCGCCACTTGGCCTGCCTGGCCGCCTGGCTGCCCGGCTGCCTGGCTGCAGGAGACGCCGGTTACGTTCGCCCCATAAGCCACGCAAATGGCGTGTGAATTGGCAAGGTAACGTGCACAGAGTCAACTTACAAGTTGTCGCACGCGTAAAGGGGGGGGGGGGCAAAGAGAGAGCTGGGGGAGAGGAGGGAGGGAGAGTCCGTGTGTGCGTGTGTGTGCGCGAGTGTGCGTGTCGTTTGGGGCGAGAGAGTGTGCCTGCCGCCGCGCCGGGGGCTTGCCCCCCAACGCCCTGCCCCGGAACAGAAGGGAGCCAGCCTACCCTATCTTTCATTGTCTTATCTTGGATAAGGTTTCCTTCCCCTTCCCCGCTTCCTTCTTTCACTTCCCTCTCTTTCTCTCACCACGTGTCCCCTCCCTCCTTCCTTCATGACGCATGGCGGAATCTAATTGTGCGGAGAAACCTAATTTGGGCGCGAGCTTTCCATCCGTCTGTCACCTTGCCGCGAGCGTGAAACGGGAAACGTGGCAACGGGACTCAGTGAGCTCCGCGCGGCGCCATGCGCAGCTGGAGGCCCCGTTCTTCCTCGTTGGATCCAGCCCTGGGCCGTACGTATCTTCATAGGCAATCCCACGGTAGATACGCTGTTATGTACGCGTCACACAATTCTGCTCCGCTTTCCGAAAGCCCAGTCAGCATTCGGCGTGCTGCCTGAAGCCCGACGCCCGGATTTGGTCGCTACTCGATTCGCGGGGCTTCGCATTGCTAAATAGGACTCGAACCAAACGTGTGACCTTACCAATTGATTCCTCGTTCGGAGAGCAATCCATTGGTTGGGTCACACGTTCGGTTCGAGTCCCATTAAGCAGCTCAACGGCGTCCGGGATTTTGACCGTCTCTACCGGTCTTCGAGCCCACTGTGTGCCGGCGCCGGCCCAGCCGGGCTTAGCGGCGGGCTCAGCGGCGGCTCCCCGATGCAAGCGATATGTAATGCTCGCCGCTCGGTGGTCGATCACATCCGGGTGGCTCGGCTCGCCTGGCGAGGTTTACTAGTTTAGTCGCGGTCGGCTGAGTTCAAGGGGACGGGGCTGGCTGTTCGGGGCTGGACGGGGCTCGCGGCAGTGGGTGGCCAGGGTAGACCCCTTCTCCAGTCCCGCGGCCCCGCCGGCGGCCTCCCCGACCGCCGGGTCAATTTGCTAATGACGGCTCAACGAAAATGTGATGCGCGGAGTGAGCAGGTCAATGGAACCTCGCTGGCGGTCGTGGCCGCCGGCAGGGCGGGCCGCCAGGCCTACAGACAGCATCCACCGCCCGCCGAGAGCCGCGAGCTCTCCGAAAAGCAAGAGGCGCGTCTTGCCCGAGCCGAGAGTGTGCCCAGCCGGCATTGTCCCTCCAGCTGTTTCGGCCCGCTTCGGCCGCCCCCCACCGTTAATGTGACAAGCGGAGCGCTGAGCGAAAGAAAAGGGAGAGAAAAAGTGAGGGAATCACTGTTATTCTTCCAGCTCAAAGGAGAGCGCGGCGGGGTCTCTTGCGCGCGGTTTTTACTTTTCTCTCTCTCTTTTTTTGAATCCTCACTCCCCATTATTTATGCCTTTGATTTGGCCCGCTTGTGCACACAACAAGGCCCGCGATGACACTGGCCTTGCGTTTATCTTGCCAGGCCTCTTCGCAGCCCGTTAAAGAACAGTGCGGCGAAATGGGGGGAGGGAGGGGGGGCACACGCACATACACACACGCAGGGCAGTTGCTGATTTATAGCAGCCGAGGCAGCACGGGCTGCTGCCCGCCGGAGACGTGCAAACGAGCCTCTCAGCCCCTCCCTCCAGCACTGTGAGTCTGTCTCTCTCCGCCAACCCTCCGTCTCTCTCTCTCTCTCTCCCGCTGGCGCGGCCGAGGCGGAGCGGAATGGAAACAGTGAGAACGAGTCCCCGCTGGCGTCTTAGTTGTTCACGGCCGGCGATTCACGCGGCGCGCTGGAGCACCCGGAGGGGTCCGGTGGGGCGCGGCCGCGACGCCGAGGCATTTTGATCCTGTCACGGCCCGCGGCGCACCGCGGCGGCGCGTGCAAAGCGCTTTTGCCGAGTGAGCTAGCGCGCTAGCGACTAGCCAGCCGGGCCTCATTGCCGGAATTGCGACTTGGCAGGGGCAAGTTGGAAGACAAGACACTTTTCGTCGGGGGCTGGGGGGCCGACCTGGTGACTCTCGCTGAGGCTCTGATTCATTAGCCACTCGCCGGGAGCCTACAATGGTGGGGCGGTCTTGTCTGCCTGGGCCAGAGAGAGGGGTAGGGGGCATTGTGCGGAGAGGGGGGAAGCTGTGCGTTCCCATTTCATTGTTTTCATTCGCCCGCTGCTGGACTCAGTAGGAACGATCGAATGAGTAAATCTGAACGTGAATATTGCATGTCACGTTCCTGCCGCGACCGCTAGGCCGCCAGACCGCCACCGCCACGGCCAGCGCAGGCGCCGATACGCTGTTTGCGGAGCGGTGACGCGTTGGACCGTATGGCAGTGATTCGCTACGGCGTCACTTTCTTTTATTTGCCCCCCACCTGGCCTGTCCCGTCCCTGTCGGCACGTAGCGGGGTGTGGCAACGCGGCAACGCGGGTCAAACAGAACGGCCCGGCCACGCCTTTCGAACGCCCCTCCAGAGGCCCCCGCATGGCTGCGCCCTGGCCGTGCCCTGGCAGTGCCCTGGCCGGGGCCTCCGCAATGGCTTTCCGATGGCCTCGGCCACGGCAGGCCGTCGAGGACCCGGCCGGCCCTGCCAGGCGGCCTGGCCAACTCCAACCGGGGGGAGTGGGTGCGAGGTTTGCCGCCGAGGTTTGCCGCCGAGGTTTGCCGCCGAGGTCTGCCGCCGAACCGCACACGTGCCGATGGCGGGCGGCGTCCCTGATTTCCGGTTCCCTTCCGCCCCACTTCAATTGCTCTCCTGATGCTCCCCTCCCCTCTCGCGGGCCAGCTGATGCTCCCTGCCAGATATGCCGTCGGCGCGAGGCCTCATTTTCCGGCCCCGTCGGCCAAATCGAAAGGGAGAGACAAGCAAGAAAAGTAAAGGGCTTTGAAGTAACTCTCCCTCGACAAAGTATAATTCAACTAAAAATGAAAACCTTACGGTGTAACTCCGGTCACATGAATGTCGGTAGGACAATTTTCTTACGCGGTACTCTTCTTGCCCGGCTTCCGCCCACTCTTTCCACAAAGACACTCCACTCTCTGTCACTCTCTCTCTCTCGCTCTGTTTCGCTCTCTCTTTCTCTCTCCTCTCTCTCCCCCCACCTCCCTGTTCCGCCTGATGAAGCGCAGCCTCGGCCGCGCTGCGGGCCCAACCCGTCGTAGAGCCAAATTGAACAATATTCGTTCCCAGTCAATCACACCAACAGGCGTCCCGTTCCAAGCCCCGCTCCGAGCCCCGCTCCCTCTGGGCCCTGCCGGCCCTGCCGCGGCAGAACGACGAATGGGGTATCAGCGCCTGATTCCCCTCGGCGCTCTGCCGCCGTGTCTCTCAATTTTCAGTGCAAATTCAATTTCGAATTTTTGGCGCGCATGCAATGGTTGCTAATTGCCGTCTTTGGGTGGCGCCATGCGCTGCCACGTGTCCGCCCCGAAGACTGATTCAGGGAGTCTGTTTCCTCGCTCTGTCTCTCTCGCACTCACGGGGCGTCCCGTAGAGGTGCGAGAGAGACAGAGCGACGGAAACGACTCTCGGAATCGGTCTAATGCCGTGGCGCCGCGCTGCTGTGCCCGGTCGTGTAGTACAGCACGGTGCTCGGCAGGAGGGGTTTACTCTGCCCTTGCAACAGACAATGGACAATGGGCGCCGCAGAGACAAACAATTTCCGGGCGGAGGGACTAAATTACGCTCGTTGCTGCTTGCTGGCCTGCCGGCCCTGGCCTGCTGGCCCTGGCCTGCTGGCCTGCAGCCCCCCAGAGAGTGTAGCGCCCGCAGAAGGCGGGGTAGGCCACCCGCTAGGCGCGCCAGCTGCGCGG